GGGGCGGGGGGGGGGCAGAGAGAGAGAGAGAGAGAGAGAACATGGCATGTTATTAATCTGGAATCAAAGGAGTTTTCTTTGGCATAAAGCAGGGGTGGGCAATAATTTTTAATGGGAGGCCACTAAGATTTTGTTAAGTGGTCAAGGGCCACACTTCTATGGAGGAGGAGCAGAGCCTGGGGTGGCAGGTGAGGTGCAGAAGGGAGCTGGAGATAGAGGACTGGGGTGAAGGAGGGGGTGTGGTGTCTAAGGGAATTTGGGTGAAGGAGGGGGTTATGATCTGGAGCAGGAGCTTGGGGTGCAGGGGTCTAGGAGGAGGTATGGGTGCAGGAGAGGAGTCTAGCCTGCAGGAGGGGGTAGGAGAGGGTGCAGAGTCTGGCAGGGAGTTGTGACCTGGAGGAGATGGGGAAAGGGGATACAGAGGGTTTGGGTGGTGACCTAAGGCCCGAGGGGGCAGTGATCAGGGGCAGGTAGTTGGGGGAGAGAGAGGAAGAGGGGTGCCAGAGGCAGGCTGTGGCTCAGAGACAATCTTAGGTGGTTCCCAGCCAGCAGCCCAGCAGGAACCCGAGACAGCCTCCGCCTGTCTACTACACATGGCTCTGCTCCAGCCTGGGAAGGAGGGAGAAAGGAGGCTTCGCTCTGCCCCTGCCTCCAGTAAAATTTCTCAGATCTTATTGGCCAGAAACTTGCCAATGGGAGCTGAAGGATTTTGCTGGGGGCAGGGACAGCACACAGATTCACTCATCCGTCCCCAGCTTGCAGAGCAACCAGCAGTCAGCTGTTTAAAACAGCATGAGCTGCTGTGTAGTAAGGGTGCTGGCGAGGTGGCCATGGATCCAGAGGGTTGGTGGGCCAAATCTGGCCCTGCTAGCCACCTCTTGCCTACCCCTGATGTAAATAAATAAATAACCTTATTTAGTCAGCATTACCCATGGTCAGAGCAAAATATTCAGTTTATTACAAAACATTTTCAAGGGTGGGTAGACAGACACTATCGGGAGCAGAATGGCAATATAGGAATTCTTTTTTAAAGGTCAAAAGCATGGGGCTTTTACAAGTTTGATGATACTCAGCAGATTTTATTGCCTTGTAAATTGGAACAAGACAAAAATGAAGTCAAGGGCTAAAGAAAGTATAAACTCAGCTGAAAAATTTCCAGAAACAGTTCTGACCAAATATCTAATTATGCCATTTATGTTTCTTCTCATTTCCAAAATGTTTGTTTGGTATTTAATCTCTCTTTTTTTGGTGGGGGACCCATTTCAAATGTCCCTGTAAATGACGACGTGTTTGTCTTTGATGTCTTTGAGGTTTTTAAACCTGCTGGGTATGTTGTTCTATATTGGTCCACTGGGATGTGGAAGAGATTTCCAGAAATTCACAACTTCTGTTTCCTTTTTCATGCAGAGCTAACTAAATTGTTATGTTATTGGAAGACTTTATGATGACAGATTTACCTCTGAGCTCTCCAACTGCATTTCTGTTATTCGTTGTGCTTCACTTTCCTTGTCAGCATTTTAAAAATAAAGCTTTGTTTTTTGTATAGTGCTTTTCATCACTTGCTCTATCTACCTCTACCCAAACTATAGACAGCAATTACTTAAACACAGCAGTGTAAGGTGAAATGAAACCATAGTACAGCCACAGTGCCCGGAAGCACAGGAGAGGAGGTGAAACATACCGTACCCAACTGCAGGAATGGACAGAATGTAACTACTCCAGCTGATATTTGAACAAGACAACATTCTCCCAACCTCCACCCAAGGCAACAGGCGACAGCTGAGGAAGAGCCCTTACCTTGCAAGAATTTCAGCTGTCTGCTGTGATGGAGAGCCAGCTGAGAGCGACAATGCTTCCGTGCTGCCTTTCACTGCCTTTAGAGCTAAAACATCATTCCCCAAAGGCCCGTTGGAAATCATTCCACTCTGAATTTGGGAGAATAGAACAGGAAACTAGGGTCAAAAGCACTGTGTTGAGGGGACAAGTACATTACCAGTAGTGCCTAAGGGTACGTCTAGACTACATGCCTCTTGTCGCCAGAGGCAAGTAGATTAGGCTACCAGACATAGTAAAATGAAGCGGCGATTTAAATAATCACGCTTCATTTAAATTTACATGGCTGCTGCGCTGAGCCGACAAACAGCTGGTCAGTTTCACCACCTGGATCCCAACAGCCCAATATTAATGAATATGGCTTTTGAACAGAGTGGGAAGGATGATTAAATCTCAAAATCCATTTTGAGATCTTTCTAAACAAGCTGTGCCAAAAAATAGCTGCCTGTATAAAATTTAACACAAAACTAAACTACTTTTGAGAACATACCATTAAATCTCCACTCTGAATTTCAAATAAACAAAAAGTATGTTTGAATAACTCACTGGCACGATCCACCTGGGTGTAACTGTGGGCTGGGAAGACACCTGCCAAAGGAAAATCAACATGCTGGAAAAGTTTCAATGATATGCAAAATGCTTTCGAAACATTGTTTCTTCAAAACAATTTTTGAGTCAAAAGTTAATTTGCTGCTAGCAGCATTGTCATGCTTTTATATCTCGTCAGCCTGCACCATTGCTAAGGGCTTTGAATCGAGATGCTTGTAAGAGTGATGGACTCTAAATAGGATGTGTGTCTGCAGGCTGCGTGGCTCATAATTGATTAGTGCAGTGGCCAGCTGTGATTCAGCACATAGCTGCCTTGCAATAACCAGTTTAGCCCACTGCTTTTTGAGGTGTGGATCAGACCCCTTTTCTACACCTGGTTTGGCAGATCATCCTCCTCCCCCCTCTCCCCCCCCCCGTGCAATACAGACATTGCAGAGTACACTGCCCTGGGTGCTGCTTTGGGAGCATGCCTTCCCTATCCCTGCTGTGGACAGAAAGCTGCTACAAACTAAACTATGATACTTGTAACCAAGTCAGGTGACATCGCTGCTGGTTCACAGCCAGACCCACTGATGGAGGGAGGAATGAGTTAACTACCCCTGGGCCCAGCGATTCAAAAGGGCCTACAGGTCAGAGCAGTCACCTAAGGCTCATTTGGATTGTTATTAGACCAGCAGCCATGAAATTGCTGCTACATCTCTCACAAATCCAATGGACAGATGCCAAATGACCAGTTATCTATAAAGAGATTACATTTTCCTTTATAAATAGTCAACAGTTGAATCAAATCTACGTTCTTTTTACAAAATTGCTTTTGAAACAGTTACCCGAGGAACGGCTTCTGTAAAGTCAATTAGATTCTCCGCCAGTGATATTAACGAAACATCAAGGTCATCTGGACTGCTCTGTAAAATAACCCATTATTATTATTATTATTATTAATATAATATAGTAGCCCAGTGTCTGAGAGTCTGTAATGCTGAAATGCTGGCTGTTCCCTCTGGGAGGCGCTGTTGCTGAAATGCTGGCTGTTCCCTCTGGGAGGCGCTGTTGCTGAAATGCTGGCTGTTCCCTCTGGGAGGCCCGTGCTGCATGGGGAGCGCAGGGCCCAAACAGCCACTTGCGCTGCTTGCTCCCCCGCGGTGGCCCAGCTGAGCGGCGCAGAAGTCAGCCAAGCGCCACAGCGGGAAGCGAAGGGGGACGGGGCGGTGACATGCGGCGTTACAGCGGCTCCAGGCCCTGCCCCCTGGACGTGAACGTCATGCAGCACGGAGAGTGCGGCGCTCAAACGACCATTTGGGCTCTGCAGTCCCCTGAGTGAGAGGCAGGAAGGAGAGGAGAAGAGAAAGAGAGACACAGAGAGAGAGGCAGGAGGCGGAGGAGAGCTGAGAGAGAGAGGGGGGGAGACAGTAGGAGGAGGAGAGAGAGACCGGAGGCTCAGGAGAGAAAACCTACGTGGAGGAGAGACCTGAAAATCCCGTCTTATGATAGGCTAATTGGCTAGTTATTAATTAAATCCCCATTAGTCACAAGATGGAGTATGCTAGTGGTTTCTTGATTTCTGAGCACCGTCTTCAATTAACAGTCCCATTGCCAGGCCTGAGTTTTGTTAATTTTTAAACAGAAAAGATTATCATCAGATGGTCTTTACTAACATGCTCTTCTATTCTCAGCTCCCCAGCCTAGGTATTGTGCTCACTGATTTTACACCCACATTGCTGTGTAGATGTAAAATCATCCACAGCACTTGTGGATAATACAATAGGTTAAGTGGAGTCTCTGCATTAAGGATCTATACTTGGGAAAAGCAGATGTAGCTGTGCACGGAAATTGGCAGCATAATATTGGTTAGAGGCCAGCTGCTAATAAGTCCTCTGTAATGAGAATTCAGAATCACATACAAAGCCCCTTAACCTAATGTAATATCACAGGAATCCCATGTCACTGTCATTTAATTATCTCGAGATGGAAACACAGTGCTCACTATGTCAAAAATCTAAGTAACAAACACTCCAGACCCCAACCCTGCCTTTACTATTGACTTCAGTGTGAGGTGCACATGTGCATTCAAATGGTAGAATTTCACGTTTAGTATTTGTTCCTTGAGACACCAAAACCATCGGATAAAAACAGATTCATTCAGGCGATGAGCTGGCCAGCCAGTTTAGAAAATACTGGCTAGACAACACAAAGGGACATAGCCCAGAGTGGGGTTTAAAATGGGGTCACAATTTGGTAAAAGTGTGAGACAAGTATGCTGCTGTAAAGTTTAATATTTGCACAGAGCCATTCCTTTTGTATTAAACTGATAAGTGTCAGTGCTTTAGTGTGAAATGAAGAGCTGCACACGTGGACAAACAGCTGGTGCAAACCTTTAAAACTGCAATCTCCTCTGCGGAAGCCAGAATAACTGGAATCGGTGATTCTTCAGGACCAGAGGTGGCATTATCTTCCTCTAGTGCATGCCTGAAAGAAGAAAACATTCTCATCCCACCGCAGAGGCTGTGTGAAATAATCAGCACTGCTTTTATGACAGCTTAGCCTGGAAACACAACAAATCAATATAGAGCAAGGAGGAAATTCATGTATATGAAGAAAGATGCTGATGTGATTGCCAAGTGACCTGTAGCCACCTCAGTACTGGCCACTGTAGTCTAGTGCTATGTGGCATAGATTCCTGAAAGCCTAAGTACTACAGACATCCAAGGCAGCAAACAGTATCCTCCCAGAGGAGATTTTTTGCAGTGCCCATCTCAAGCTTGCATACAGAGATGAAGCAGTTACCCACCTTGTGCAGTTAACGATGATTCTTCAAGGTGTCCCCCCATGGGTGCTCGACTGTAGGTGTGCTTGCGCGTTCCCATGCTGCTGATTGGAGAATTTCAGTAACTGTGTCTGTTTGGCCTGTATACCCAATGTCCCCATCCCCACCTTCTGCTCTGCCACAACGCTAACGAGTGTTACGTAGGCAAACCCTCCGCAGTTCCCTGTCTACAATAGAGCATGAGAGGAGAACTCTGAAATAGAGTGAAGGAGGAGGGGGTCAGGAAGCACCCACTGAGGGACATACCTCAAAGAACCATTGTTACTGCACAAGGTGAGTAACTTCCACTTCTTTATGTTGTGTCCCTATGGGCGCTCCACTGTAGATGAGTCCTGAGCAATGTCTCCTACTGGAGATCGGGGCTTCAGAGTTGAGCCTGTTATGGATGAGAGTATCGGGGAGCTGAATCTGGCGTCTGCAGCGGAGTGCCTCAGGATGGCACAGAGCTCTTAAAGGTATGCGCAGGTGCTTGGGTAGCCATTCTGCAGATTTCTGATACAGGGACACCCTTGAAGAATGCAACAGGCGAGGAAGTCTATCTAGCAAGTGCACATGTGTATTATAGACAGAGGTGCTAAATTGCAAATCCAATAAGAGTTTGATACAGTTTGAGACCCATTGAGAAAATCTTTGAGCTGAAAACACTATGCTCTTAGTCCTATCTGCAAGGGAGAGGACGAACCTAGCAGATTTTCCAAAAGCTTTTGTGCTGTCCAAATACAAGGCCAAGATTCTCCTTATGTCGAGGAAGAAGATGGCTTCCCTATTATCCTGGTGAAACTTGGGTTAAAAGTGAACGAGTTGGTTCATGTGAATTTGGATGTCACATTGAGTGTGAACTTTTAGATGCGGTCTGAGCATGACTGTCAGGGAAAAACACTGTGAAGGGGAGATGCACAATCAGAGCTGCTATCTTCTCCATCATTCTTGTTGAGGCAATGGTGATTAGAAATGCTGTCTTCATGGAAAGGTGAGATGGAGATCAAGTAGCCACAGGTTCAGAGGGCAGGCTTGTCAGCCATTTGAATACTAAATGGAGATCCCATTGTGGGATAGGACGTCTGGGTTGGAGGAAGAACTTCACTATGCCTTTGAGGAACCTCTGTGTATTCGGAGGGGGGGAGAAAATTGAGCACCTCGTCTATCTGTTGGTAAAAGGTTTCTGTGCTTGTTTCATTTAAATTAAGATGGTTAAAAGCAGCATTTTCCTTCACCATAGTAAAATTTCAAAACTGTATTAAACCACTGTTCAGTTGAAAACTTTTGAAAGTACCACCCTATGCTTTGTTCAGAGTTACGAACCATCTCCATCCACCATAATGCTTTGTTCAGAGTTATGAACAACCTCCATTCCTGAGACATTCATAACACTGAGGTTCTACTGACCTGGAAAAGAGGGCATGCAGTGAGGCAGAAAAATCTGCAGATGGCTATTCTGCATAACTGTGTCAAGTCTAAAGACATCTGTCAGGAACTTTAGAGTGACCTAAGTAAGGTGAATAGGCAACATCGATGGCAAATGAAGCCCAGTGTTAATAAATGCAAATTAATTAACATTAAAAGGGAAAAATTATCTACTTGGACTCCTTACAGTATTCCAAATTAACTGCATCAACTCAGGAAAGAGACTTGGATGTCACTGTGAACTCAATGAAGACCTCAGCTTATGATGAAAAAGCAAACAAGGATGCACAAGTAGTAGCATAGAGAATAAAGAGATTATAATACTTAGTTTTGTGTGGAATACAGCGTGCACCCCCTCTCACAAAGGATATTGCAGAATTAAAGGGTTCATAGAAACAGCCACAAGAATGATCAACGACATGGATACACACTTATGAACGAGTTTGAAAAGACAGATTTGTTTGCCTTACAAGAGAGGCAAATAAAAGGGGATGTAATAAAACAAGGAGTGCTCTAGAAGACAGATCGGAAATTTCAGTTTTCATTGTTTCACAACACAAAACCACAGGAGTTAATGAAAGTGAAAGATGACATATTTCAAACTGATAAAAGGAAATACTTTTTAACACCACATGTAATGACTCTGGAACTCGATGCCACTAAGGATAAGAATTTACTGAGACCAGTCTACACAACAGATGTAAGAGAGTAGTCAATTAGTCAACTGCTTAAGCTTATCGGGTAGTCAAGTCGATTACTCACATTCTCCGCCCGCCCCCCCGCACTTGGTGCCTCTATATTAGAGGTAGCAAGCGGGCGGAGGGGTGGGAGAGGAGGGCATCAGGAGCCAGTGTTGCCTCTATCAGAGGGGAGGAGGGGCAGGGAGAGGCTGCCAATCCAGGACCAAGTCCCACTGCAGCTCTGCAATTTAAAATGCAGTAGGGGGGGGGAGGGCATGATGTCCGGCTCTACTGCCTTTTAAATTGCAGCGTCTCTGTGGGGTTTGGTCCTGGCACAAACCAGGACTGAGTGGGACTGCCTTCCCCTATTGAGTAGCTGATAAACATTCTATTGACTATTGGTGCCCTCTGAGTTTGATTTAGCGAGTCTTACTAGACTTGCTAAATCGAATCCAGAAGATCCATCACAGCAATACTGATCTTCTGCAGAGTGAAGACATGGGCTAAGATTCAAAGAGAGATTGGACATTTATATGTTGATAAGAATTTCCAGAATTATTACAGTTAGTGCTAAGAGAAAATTTGGAATGGATATAAAACCATGGTGCTTCTGGATTTCGGCCAGTTTCTAAGGGATCAGAATGAGACCTTCATAGGTGGATTCGCCTATATCTGCTGACTGTGGGATTCTTGCACCTTTCTCTGAAAAATCTGGTACTGCCCACTGTCAGAGAGGATATTGGGCTAGACAGTTCATAGGACTGATCCAGACTAGCAATGAATATGTTCCTAAATGTTATTCGTACAACGAGAGAGTGCAGACAAACTGATTTAAGTATAGGAACAAAGACGACAAATCATCCTTGTCCCCTATGGAAATCTCATGATTATCTGCTCTCTCAGATTATATGATTTTCTGTTTCTGACATGTTGTGCTACTGACACCACGTCAGCAAGCTGAGCAAACACTCACCAGCTCTTTATGTTCGTATTTGATAGGATTGGAAAAGACCTTCAGAAATTAAAGGCACTACAGGCAGTAAATCACAAACAATGCTAATTCTTCTCTGGGAACAAGAGATTAAGCAAAGGAAGAACCATGTGAATATATATTTTGCCCCTCAAATATATGTGCAATTATAGTATTTAGTCCATGCACAAGGGAAGTCTATCAAGGTAGCAGCTCAATAAATAACATTATAAATGCCTCCTGAAAATCTTCATTGACACATTGATTTCCATGGAGGCTTTAGAGATGTGATTAGAATGAAGCTTGTGTACTAATGTGTCTCAGTATATCAACAGAACCATTTATAAAAATGACACCGCCAAGATAAATACACTAGGGGCCAAATGCTGATGTTAGCGACACCTCTATTTTGAGAGCAGGATTCAGAGTAATCTAATTGGGGAAGAAACAATTACACATGTCACTAAAATTTAATGCACCTTTTCCATGATTGATGCTGTTTGCTTTTTTGCATTCCACACAGGAAGGATAGTTAAACTACAGGTTGGACCTCCCTGGTCCAGCACCATGGGGACTTGAGCTGTCCCAGACCAGGGAGTTTGCTGGACCAGAGGAGGTCAGTGCTCCCTTGCTGGCTGCCCCGCTCCCGGGCTCCTCTCCTTGAGGTTCCCTGCCCTGCCGCTGGCTCCCCTAACACTGGTCTGGCACAGCTCCCCTACCCTGCTTCCCCAGGCTCTCAGCAGTAACTGGTTGGCTACTGCCGGCCCTGCTGCTGTCGGGGATTCCCCAGCTGGAGCGCCCAGCTGTCCCACCCTCCTGCTAGGGCTGGCCCCACTGCTGCTGGGGATTCGGGACGCCCGCCTCCGCCAGCCCCACTTCAGCCGGGGAGTGGAGGGAGGCTGTTCCCTGGCAGAGGCTGCCCAATAACCCCGGCCCTGCTGCCTCTGGGGGTTTGCCAGGATTCCTGGCTGGGGCCGCCTGACCACAGGCAGCTCCACTGCAGCCAGGGGTTGCCCAGATGTGGCTGAGACTCCTTAGTCACCTGTCCCTGCTAACGCCAGGGTTCTTGCTGAACAATGGATGTTGCCAGACTAGAGAGTCTCGGATTTAGGAGGTTCAACCTGTAGTAACTCTTAGCACAGGTGATGCTCTCCAGGTACTGGAGGCCAACTACTGTCAGAATTTAACTCAACTCTACTGGAGGAAAAAAGTGGTTTAGGCACTAGACTGGGAATCTGGGTTCTGTTCCCACTGTTACCGACATCCTGTCCAACTATGAGTAGGAAAGTCACTCTTGCTCTGAGCCTACCTACCTCATCTATAAAATGGGACTAATGCTTCCTTGCTTCACATGTGGGTTGTGAGGATACATTACTCTGAGTGGCTCACATGCTATAGCCCTTAGTGCCAGAGAAAAGCCTGCAAATAAAACCAATAATGACTAGGGCTGTTGCTACACTTCAAAGGTGAAAGCACTGCAGGGACTCAAGCAGTTCCCCGCTGGCCCCGGGCTTCCTGCGGCGTTTCAAAGCGGCAGTGCCGCATGGAGCCCAGGGTCAGCGGGAGAGTCCCCAGATGGCTCAGGCTGCACACAGCATTTCAAGGTAGCAGCAGCATCGTGTGGAGCCTGGGGTTTGGCCCCAGGCTCTACACGGCACTGCCGCTTTGAAACACCCCCTCCTCTTTTTTGCCCCTCCCCCGCTTCTTGTCTCTTTCTGACAGAGGCAGCAAGGTTGGGGGGAGGGGAAGTGACTAGTTGACTAGCGTGTCAACTAGTTGTTCACATCCCTAATAATGACCATGCTTAGCACTTGTCATCCATAGATCTCAAAGGACTTTACTATAGTGGGTAAGCATTCATCTCTATTTTACAGACAAACACTAAGGAAGAGAGGGTCAATGATCCAGGCCTTAACTCCAGAGTGGTGCTCATTTCTAGCTTAATTTCACTCTCTCATATATCCGTTCTGAGGCACTGCAGTTGCATTTAGATTCACACAGGAACAATTGCATTAAAATACCCTGTTCTCACAGTAATCTAAAATACCTCAAACACACTAGTATTTCTATTCTATTTAGGTATTTTTTCGACCACTTCCTTGATCAAATTCCTTTTAGCTACTTATTTGATTTTAAATAATTTAAGGGGTAATTTCATAGGCTAAAGGATAATGTTAAGAGCAATTATCTGCACATTCCGTGGTATTATTCTGCTCTGTTGCTATTTAATTTCATGCACTCTGAAGATCCTAATGAGTGTGTGTGAAAGAAGAGTCAGCAGATGAAGCCAGCCAAGCTTTTCTTCTCCTCCTCTTCCCGAGGTTTGACAGCTCCTTCTGCTAGCTAGCAGCTGTTTCTCATCTTTCCCAGGCTAATCTCAGAGCTGTTTCCTTATCCCGGTAACATTCCTTCCCAGAGCACTTACGGAAGGAAGGCATTTGAGGCAGGGATTTCTTTCAGCGCCTCTCTTGACTCCAGAAATACTGGGTTGGTGGGCAGCAGGCTGCTCTGTGCTTTCCCTGAGATCAGGCTGCTCCTGCAAAAAAAACCAGGTACAAATCCTCATTGCCAGTTCTTTATCCACCTATCAGGATGGAGATATTTTCTTCCCTGCTAAACTCTTGCCTAGAATTTGATTATGCAAGTGTACTGGGGCCTGTCACACAAATATCTCAAATAATTTGTCACAAAGTTATTACTTTAACCTCTGTGTACCTAGTTCAAATCTAGCCATTCTGTGTGAAATGAGATGTTAGTTTCTTGCACACAGGCATTCACGTGATTAAAAACTCCTTTGCTGGAACTCTGCGCAGTGTGGCCAAAAGGTAAGCCATTGAGACTAAATTATTCACTGTTCCCTGGAACAGAGTTGAAATATTCTAGTGGGGAAATGTGGAACATCATGCATAGTCCCTGCATGTACTGTGCTTGTTCCATGTATCACAATACAATTTCATTGTCTCAGACTGCCCATGTAGCAACTTTCAATATGATAAATTACCTTAAAAAAGATCCACGGGGTAGTCGAGTTAGTCTGTAACTGGAAAAACTTAAAAAACAACAAATAGTCTTGCAGCGCCTTAAGACTAACAAAACATGTAGAGATGGTATCCTGAGATTTCATGGGCACAACCCACGTCTTCAGATGAAGACATGAGTTGTGCCCACAAAAGCTCATGGTGCCATCTAGATTATTCATTGTTTTTTAAGTTTTTCCTAAAAAAGGTAATGTTATTGCTGGATTAAAGAGGAAAAAGATGGAAAGCTCAGATTATGAGTATATGAATTCTCACACATACCAAACAATACTTAACAAGTACAGTGCATAGCGATGTTTATCTCTGAAGTGTTTTACACATACTACCCAATTAAACCTTACAAGATATTAAATTAACAGATGTGGAAACTTATTTCTCTTTTCACAGCTGGACTTAAATGACTTGCCCTAAACCACTAGTAAGGCCAAGTCTATACTAGACCTAGAAGTTCGGCTTAAGGTACGCAACTTCAGCTACATAAATTACATAGCTGGAGTTGACATACCTTGGCTTAAACTGAGATATACCATCTTCACAGCGGAAGGCTAACGGAAGCCAATGCTCCCCTCAGCTTCCCTTACTCCTTGTGACTGCGAGGGTGCCCTCAGTGTTCAATTTAGCGGTCTTTACTAGACCTGCTATATCAAATGCCAGAAGAATGATCTCTGGCATGTAAGTATAGCCGTGGCCTAAGAACTGATATAGGAGTATGCCTGCAGCATTGCAGATTCTCGGTCCTATGCTCAGGTCATATAAGCACACTGCTTCTTTCCCCTAGTCCTATGCAGTACCTGGCAGAGGCATCCTGATTATTGGAGTTCTTGTCTGAGACGCTATCCTCCCTTGTGACCTAAAAGAAAATGAATATAAAAATAAGCTTCCAACATTTAATTCCAACTTTGTGTCCCTGATGAGATTCATGGAGAAGCCTGGAGTTTCCGTTCCCAGGGTGTGTGCGTGCCACGTGTCTCTTACTCAAACAAAGCAGTGTGAATTATTTTTTTTCCTCGTGACACCTCAGTGCTAATGCAAAATCACCCAGCCAGGTCCTCAAAGAAACAAATACTATTTCTTAACACAGCTGCTAGCAATGCAAGCACCGTGCTTATTCAGCTCTTTATCTCTGTTGAAAGGAAAAACTGGGATATTATAGCTCAAGACTGGCACAGTGGTCAGTGTATCTGAAGGGCAGAAAGCAATTCCACTCTGCCACGGTTTGACCTCCTAGTTACAGAGTCTTCATAGCTAAAGACTAGACCAGTAAACCAGCCTCTCCAATACAGTGGTGTATCATGAGAGTCAAACTCAAAGCAGAAAGGGTTATGCTTTGAGGCTTTCTGATAGTGATCCTTCTAGCCAGTCCCAAAGGGAACACCAGAGAATGGCAGAATCCTTCTTAGCAAAGTGTGTACCTTGTGTGCTGCCTCTGCCTGTGCCTTCAGGATGTTGCTCTTTATGTCTGCAGGAAATGCGTTATTAAGACACTTATCTGTCAATTTCACCACATCATCCTAGAAATGGAAAACATTCATGAGGAGCATCCGCTCCATGACAAAGCCTGGGCTGGGCTGAGGCAACAAACACTCTCAGTACCACAAGGCTTCAGCGGGGAAAAATATCAGAAAAGGCAAATGTTCAAAGCACAGGGAAACAATTTCTGACTTTTTTTAAAACAGTAGTTAAAGGGTTAACTAGCAAGGGTCTGATCCTACACAGCGCGGGGGTTGAGTGTTACAAGAGGTGTACCACAAGGGACTCTGCCCCCTGCCCCTGTAATGAGCCTACCACTGCACCTCCTGACTAATAGCAGCAGTGAGGTGTCAGGGGAGCACTGAGTGAAATTCTTCATTACCACATTGAGGAACATGTTTCAGCCCATGTCTCCTTGGCACATCCATTTGTTAGCTCCACCTGGCCGTCCTCCACTTGGCGCACATGGGAGTAGGTGCATAATGGGGGTGATAGACTCACCCACTGCTCAGTGCAGATGATTGTGCTGGTGTTGTGTGCAGCGTCAATAGCCTTACTTGTGTTACGTGCAGCTTCTGTCTTGTTGTAAAGCAAAGCCCTTGTGCACACTACTGGACAGTACACAAGGACAGGCAAAACGCTCTTCAGATGAAATGTGCTAACTATTCTAAATCCTATTGTTAGAAAATAATGTGTTTTACTAATAGCATGTTGGCAAAGATCTGCTTGTACCACCCTGTGCACATAATGCTTTGTAGGACTAGAAAAGCTTTTAAAAACAAGGAGCTCAGAATTTACATGAGCAATGCTCAACCTTCCACACTATGACACTCGGTGAATGTAGCCATGTGGCATTGGGGGGGGAAGGGGGGTGTTGAATCCTAGTTATTTAAACAAGAAAGTATCTTTCACCTTAAACCAATTTATCCTAAGTAGGCAGCTCTCACGTGCAACTTCAAGAGCTTCCCCCCTTTAGGCCCAGTAGTATAGGAGAGGCAACAGCCAGACACGTAATGCTACCACACTACTTTTCTCACTAAATGACTTTAGAGTAATGTACTAGTCAGACACACACTAGGATCAGTCAAAAGCTGCAATATCTATTCTACAGGGGTTTGGGATTTTTTGGTTCTATGTTCTTCTTTCCTTAATTGCACAGTGTTAATCAAGTTTTCAATCTGCTAATTGCTATTTGGTGAGTGACAGATGCTGATCGACCGAGTGGAAACTAAAACGTTACGACCCTTCTCTCAGGGCGCAACACAGCAGGGGAAGTTTCAGAGCCCCACATTCCTCACCATATACTTAATCACTTGAGAAGCAAGACTGATTCTTCTTCAAGCAAATCTTCTCCCCCCTACAGTGTTCAACATATTGCCAAAATCCTGCTGGCCTTAGTCACAGGAGAACTCCCACTGAAGCCAGAGCTGTTGCTGGGCATTGAAAGAGCAGTATTTGGCCCATAGGCTTGTAAGCAGAAAGCATTTTAATACTCTCTGTGCTCATCACCAAAGACAACAAGGAAAAGGATGACCTTTCTAGTAACTGGAATGACAAATGATGAAGATTTTCAGTAAGAGCGGATGGATGTTCAGCACTTATTTAGGTTTCTAAGTATGGACATATAAACCTAACTTTAGACACACAGATGTGAAAATATTCACCTATCTCAGCAATATCCAAAGGCAAAGGTTGTGCCAACCTTAAACAGCCACTGCCAATGTAAAATAGGTTGTTTTTAATTGAACCAGTGCTGCCAATAATTATGGCCAACAAATGTTGGGGGTGAAGGGACACTGTCACTGTAAATATATGAAATGCTAATAAAAATACAGTAAAAATCTTTGTTCTCCACCATGCTGAAGGTATGGAAGATGCAGATTAATTAAAAATTGTTAACTAAGAGTTATACTTTATCAATGGAATACGAATTTTCAAAGAATTAGAATACAATAAAATGAATGAAGTATAAAATACTACACAGATACTCACCAATCCAGTATAATACTGCACTGCAGAGTATCTGGTTTCTCAAGGCACTTACAGGTAAAGTTATCTTAGGACACTACATAGCAGTATGAGCAGCACAGGGCATACACCCAGATCACTACACAAACATTAAAGCTACACTGAACATAATTTAATCTTTCTTTGATGATTCAGAAGGTACTTCAGGATCTTACATTGCCTCAGGGCCATCATTATCACCACCAATTACCAGCGTAGCTTTAGAAGGTGTAGCAAATTGGACTGACTCTAACGACCTAAGACACACCCTGGGAGCTGCGTTATTTAACAAATCCCTGATAGCAGCTTGCTTCCTTGTCTTCTGCCTCTTTTGCATAAAAGAGGAGTGCAGAATGTGCAACTGCATAACCTCCTGGGCAGTCCACTAGTCTTGGTTACTAGATTGAAGATTTGTATTGGGAGGTATCAGAAGTGCAGGTTATTTGAGCTTTCCGGTTGATGAAGTGCCAGATAACACAGCATTTACTGTATTTAGCAGATGTTTGTAACTACATGGAATAGTTTAACAACAAAAACAAGCTTCTTATTGTACCAAGTAATTAACCCTTCTCATTAATTCCTCTCCATATCATTGAGATCTTTTCTTCCCTTCTTTGTCTTTCCATTTCTCTAATATCTTTCCTTCTGGGAACCCTTCCTCAGTGCTATATGGCAAACAAAGGGGGAGAAAGCTGGAATATTTAGATATTAGCTGCATCTTGACAATTTTCCAGCTCTAGCTAGAGTGTTTTCTAGATACAACTGATGATATTTGACAGGAGAAAGTATATAAAAGAATCACATCCTGTCATTGTTCTGAATCCTCCACTGCTTTGACTTTATTAGAGACTTTATTCTGCTGAAATTCCAACCTCACTCCTGTGAACTATCCTTATAAATTAATCCAACCACACTGGACTTCAGAGTTCATACCTCACTCAAAAGAACAGGAGACATTTCTGACCTCTCAATTAAGGACCAAATTTTCTGACATGCTCTGCATCCAGCAGCTCCACTTCTTTTTAATGGGAGCTGCCTCATTTAAATGCTTAAATCAGAGCTGAGCTCTTTTAAATAGCTGGCCCCAAGTTTATCTGCAAAGCAAACTCATAAGAACATCAGAACGGCCATACTGGGTCAGACCTATTGTCTACCTAGCCAGTATCCTGTCTTCCCACAGTGGCCAATGCCAGGTGCCCCAAAGCAATGAACAGAAGAGGTGGTCATCAAGGGATCCATCCCCTGTTGCCCATTCCCACCTTCTGTCAAACAGAACTGAAACACACAATCCCTGCTAATCCTGCCTAATAGCCATTGCTCCACCCAACCTCCATGAATTTATCTAGTTTTTTTTAAACCCTTTTTGAACTCACTACATTTCTCTGCACTGGTTCACATTTAGAAGGTTATTGCTGAAACCAGATTGTTTTTATAAATGAAAGCTTTACATTCTGCAGAAAACACTGGAAATATTAAAAAAAAATCCAGAGAGACTCTAAATCTGTACTGTAGTATGGAATTTCTACAATTCATTGTTCCATGTAACAATGTTCTATCAGTAACTTGGACTATTAAAACTAAAAATATAGGCATATTGTTTATTTTTCACTATTCTGTGGTTTATTTTTCTTGCAGTTTCCTCAGAATCTAGCCTACCACTTTCACTCTTCTTTATCACTAGTTTCACTTTCTGGTTCTCATACAGTATAAAAACATACTGTTGCTTTTCTTTTCATGCCAAGAAAACATTTCTATTCAGATTAGCATACATCTCCCTGTGCCAGTTTTATTCTGTGTTTAAGGAAAGGAGAAATGGTGGAGGATAAAAGTAATTGGCACATGACATCTATTAACAATATCTAAATTATATGACAATTAATGTGGGTAGTTGGCAAAGAGATCTAACTCAGGTCTGCAAATATCCAAAGTCTGAAAGTGTATTTAGGAACTAATTGCTCTCCTTTGTTAGGCTCCTGAAATTTGGCCAACGTGCTAGTCAAAAGTTTGGGAATGACAAAATTACATACTTCCATTCAAACAGATTTTGGCAGCGAGCAGCTAGGCAATGCCAGGACCAGCCTAGAAGAATAAAGCCATTCATTTTGGAACTCTCATTCCAAAGAGATTCTGCCCTTTCTAAGGGGATGGATAGATAGGTAGATATTTTCCTACCAAAGAACCAGTTAAAAGTGATGCTGAAAAACAAGCTCTGATCTTTGGAGAAGAAGTTCGAGTTTTTCAGCTAACAGAGCTGATGAACAATTCGCTGGCATTTAATGAAGCTTCTCTGCTCACTGGTACCAGACACAGCTTTGCTTTCACAAGCAGAGAACTACTGACCCATTCTGCTGGCAGTGCAATTTGTCATGCCTCTGACAAGCTCTTGCCACGTACATTCCAGCTCTTGTACAAGGCAAGAGCTGGAATGCAATTTGTATGCTCGTGTACAAATTGTACGTATGCACTTTGTAGCAGATTTTATGTATGGCATGTACACAGGATTTTTTGAAGCAGCTTTCAGAAACAAGATAAAAAAGGGAGAGGAGGGAAAGCAACTCCCATACTGTTTTTAAGTATTCTTCTTAGATCACTATTTTGAGGATTATTTCATGAGAAACATTTCATCAACAAGCTGTGAATTTCCAAGGGCACGTCTACATAGCAGGGCTAAATCTGAAATAAGCTATACAATTTGAGCTGTCAATCTCTAGTTTTTTGTTTTTACCCATCTCTCTCAAATTACCACACGCTTAGACTCAGCAAAGCTTGAAAAGCTTTACTCAAACAATTCTCTCCTATAGGAAAAATACTGATTCAAATAGCATTTACACACTACATTTTCACAACTCTGTTTTAGAATGTTACCCACAGGTCCTTAGCAAAAGACATCTTAATTTATGAAACTAAACAATCATAGTACAATTCAGCTTTCATTATCTAGACCTCAGCTATGTAAAACTCATGTAAACAGCATTATGATGCCCAATATCTATTAAATTTAAAAATCTGTTGATTATCCAGAACTCCCATTATGCAGTTATTCAGTATCCTGTGCGATGTCTGCGCAATCATGTCTGTACTGTACAAGTACCCATTTGTTAGACTAGTTCATTACATGAGTCTCATATTTAGTTTACCCTAGCATATCTGAACACTATGAACAGTGGATTTCACTCTATTCTCTCGATTTTAATTACACAATTGTTTACCTTTTTGTTTAAAGCCAACAGGGAGATGAACAATCAAGATACTCTCAAATAAATTGTGTTCATTTGCCTTTGTTTACTTTTGGCATAACAGGACCCATAGCTACCCACTAATCTTCTTAGAGACTTGGTAATCTTTGTAATGCAGTCACCATACAGAAAGGTACACCAGGCATCCCTGTTATCAGCCCTTAAAAAAGACATGAACACAATATGTAATAGCTATGAACATGCAGAAGCAACAGCGTTCTCTCAAAATAAGGAGGAAACGTGGCAATGGGCTCAGCAGTCACACAAGTCAACCTACTTATGTACTTCTCCAAACCTTTAATAGATCCTGATCCAACTTCACTGAAAGAGACAACTCCAGTGACTTCAATGGGAGATAGAGCAAAAAACCCTTAGCCTGCCTGGGCTAATCCTGTGGTGTAGTAAATGTCATTTTGCTATTGCTTCCTATTTAAAATACAATGAGCATTCTGGGTTTGTAACATGAGGACTGAATTGCTTTTAATCAGATCGCTTTGCAGAAGGAAAAAGTAGCCCACATTCTTGGGCAATCCCAAAGAGCTTGTAAGACTTATATAGGCAAAGGATGAGAAGCCAGACATAGGACACTGCATTCTATGTGACTTGTCTGTTTACAAACACTTTTTATTAGGCTAATGCTTTATAGACCATGGCTCCATGCCATGGCCCTCATGGCACCTTTCCTTGTATTTGCTCAAAGGGCAATACTAACTAACAAAAAAATTCATATGTACAACTCCCTTGTAAGGAAAATGAGCACAGTGAAATCTGCACTAAATCTCCATTCAAAGAACTGATAAACATAAGTTATTTGACGGAAGTAGACTCCTGACAAGATGGAATGAAGTTATTATTCCTCATGTAATAATATTGTTTTGCAGACAGTAACCATGAAGTACAGTGGGGTAAAATCCTGACCATACCAAAATCAGTAAGCATTTTGCCAGGATATTTAATGAACCTATGTTATAGTGTATTCTTTGTTGTGTGTTGGACTGAGAACTCTATTGGAAACAATAGAATAAAAGGTTAAAAAACCCTCTTGCCTTCCTCCCCCAATTCTGTTCTTGTATGAAATTGACTAGTGCACTAGATTGTGCACCATTTGTATACATGGAAGCTGGGTGTCTAGACATGTTTGAAAATCCCATTAGGCACCTACTTTTTTATAAATCTGGCCTTTAGCTAATTTTCCAGCACAAATTATTCACTTAACATACAAAATAACTCCGTAAAACAAAGCATATGCATTTGATTTGCTTCAGTTTCCAACATCATTTATAGACATTTTCAAAAAACCTGCAGGTGAGACATGTAAATCATAAAGAAAAAGGGTTCCCCAAATCATCACAACATGCTCAGAACCTCTCAGTAACTTGCAGGACTGCAACCAGAGTACCTGTTTGTTGATATTGATGTTTATGTTGGAACAGGGCACTGACATTGGGCTGGCTTCCATTTCCAAATGTTTCAGTTTCAACAATGTGTCTTCAAATGCTGAAAAAGGCAGACACAGCCTGAGGTCCTGTTAATGCTGGCATGGCATTATCTAGCATTTCACCTTTACCATGCCTGAATACTAATTAGCAAAAGATCAAACTATCTGGCTGGTATGAAATAAAGCTGCTAGTTCACACTTGAGAAATTTAACTTCCATGAATTAGTGTTGTACGTGCTTAATCCAAAAGGGAGGGAGTCTTGAATGACAATTAAGTTCAATACGAGTGTGGGAAGATAAGTGAATCTCTCTCTCGGGAATTAGTTGGTTTCAAAGTAGCTCCTCAGAAAAGTGTGCATATATACCATTTAGGGGTTCTTGTAAATCCCGTAAAGAACCATTATATTTTCTCTTGGTTCTGCACTCATACACATTTGGCTTGAGAAATAAATTGTTCCCAGCTGAAATAACTATCAAGCCCCGCCTCACTCTGCTGTCCTAAACAGTCACACTAATATTTACATGCAGCCATAGTTATTCATAGCAAAAAGATTACAACAATTTTTTTAAAAAAATCTGAGTTACTCTCTTTAAAGAGGTAGTCTAACACTGAGCAGCCATCAGGCAGCAGCTGGGGTGGTGCTGTATCTTAAGCTTGGCATTCTCTGTGCTGTGCAACAGTAAATTCACTCCCCATCAGGCCAAATTACTTTGTTCACAAAACTATAAATACATTGAATATGTGAGGCACTGAGGTAATGGGAGCTATTTAAATACCTAAGGAAGGTAGTGAGAGATAGATACACCACTCAGAATGCCATGATTCTAGTAGTGTCAGCTAAGATCATTGTATTACCAGTATTCTAAGCCCTGATGCAATCAGCACACAGTATGGTTGAAAAATGCAGGCAATGGAAAAACAAAGCAGTAGTATTTGTGCTGTTCCTAAATCCTGAAACATATTTTTCTCCCGTCATCAATATAGTTATACACCATGTTCTATCTACAAGGATACAAAATAATTCCAGTGTCACATACCACTCTCTCTATATGCAATAATGGCAATGATTCAGTACGTTTCCTTACCAGCAGGATCTGTTTTTTCAGCAGCTCTCTCCTGGGTGTCAGCAGGA